TTTGGAACAGAAGTGACATACAACATAAGTTTAGCTAATGAGATTCAAGCTTCCAAGAAGTTGAAATTGAGACTTAAAATAGATGATGCTAGTCTCAGCAGGTGTCCTGAACAAGAATAGCTAAATTCTAGAAATGTAGGCTTCTGCTACCCTGTGGATCTAGGAGTAGTGAAAACCAATATAAAGAGAACCAGACAACGAGGACAGAAAGAGAGATGTTTGGATTCCTGATAAGTTTTTATTTCTTAGAACTAGTTTTTTTCTTAGACCCTTTCATGTTCTGCCTGGGTTTCTTGATGCATGTTCATAAATTCTTCCTTTTAACTTAATTAAGCAAGCTTAAGTTGGTTACTGTTACATGCAACCAAACAACCCCAATCAATATGCCTCTGCACTTGACCTGTGCCTGACATGAACTCAACTATAGAAAAAAGGAGTGAAGAGTATCTCTTGAATTCTATCCATCACTTTTTCCTTATGATAAATAAGGTTCTCATAACAACAGAAAAACATCTGATTCTATACAAGATGGATAGTATTAAGATTTTATTGCCTAGAGACCAATCTGGAGTAAGGAATTGACATAGCTGCTTAAGTTCCTGAAATATCTGAACTCCTTTCCTCTAATTTATGTTTTTCTTTTTATAAATCTTAGGATTTAAAAAAGTATATAGAAATATCATTTTGTTCAAATAGTAGCAAGAGAAGTCATCCTGAAAGGAAAATCTGTTTCCCTCTGGCTTCCCAAATACAGAGGAGAGGTTGAGAAAACTTGTAAGGAAAACACATGATTAATTTCAGATATATCGTGATTCAGAATGTGCTTAAAGTACAGATGCAGAGATGGTTCAGGTAAATTAATCTTGTGATGGAAAAAAATTTGTCTGAGTGATTAAACTCAATTAAATACGCCATAAGAAGCACAATCTTTTAAACCAAGTATCTTTAAACCACTGCTTAAGTAGATATCCCACATGCCTGATTGCAATCTCAGAAAGATTGAATTTTAAATATAATTCTCTTCAATTGTATACCAATGGTCTGGGCACGATCTGGTTTCTCTGGCTTTTCACCTCCTGCTGTGATAAAGTGAAAGAAGAGTCTTCCTCCACACCAATGACATGGTTTTCCTATCTCAATCTAAAAAGGACCACAAAAAGCAGTATGTCCTGATATCTTATTAATGTCAATAAGAACCAATTTAACAACAATTTTATCTACACATAAATTAAACTTTGGGGCAGCCACTATTCAATATTTAAATAGGCATACTTAATAAGAATTAAATAATTCCATCTGATGGGTCAATTTTTTGAATTACATAAGAGTACATTTTGTAGCTCGCTGATCTTGAAAGAAAATCTGAAAGGCCACATGGTACAAAATTGGCAGCTGCCTTACAAAGCTTGTTCTTTGACAATTGGTAATAGCTATGCTAAAAACTTTCTAGCATATAATATTTTTTGTTGTCATGAATATTAAGTCTAGTCAAGCACACCTGGGCTCCTCAGCAGATTAAAAACTGGTCCTGAGGAAACCTTGGTCTGGCCAATGGCCCCCCTGCATTTCCAGTATTGAGGAAGTGGGTTTACTGTCCTGCCACATGAGGACTCTGGCCATCACCAACACAACCCCCTTAACTGGCATCCAATTAATATAAAATAGCTCCCAGCAGAGAACACAAACTCTAAAAGTCTACTTACAGCTTCTATTAAATCCCCGAGAAGAGCACTGATATGCAAGTCTGTGGATTAGAAATACACCCCACAGAGCCACTGGAACCCTAAAAGGTATCTTCAAGACCAGTAAGTAGGACTGGGGGAAGTGAACTGGCTAGGGATATACCAATCACTTCAACCCAGCAGTTTTTAACTGATGGAAACATTAAGCTTCTGAATAGGATGTTTTTAAAGATACAGTTTTAAAAGCAGAGAATACGAGAGATGTTCATTTATTCTTCAGAGTATAGTACATCCTCATATCATCAGAGCTCGAAAGAATTATAAATCTAGATCAAAGAAGATTATCTTTTTTTTCCTTGAAAACACCTTTAATGAAATATCCTTTAGTGTTACAAGCATTACATTTCTTAACTTTGATTGTAGGTACATATGAAAGCAGCCAAAGAGAGGGCTTCTGCTTTTGCTATAAAATTTTGTTAAATAAAATTGCTCATTTGGCTGTCAAAGTCCCATATAATACCTTTCTTTTAGAAATACGTTTCAAGAAAATTTATTCTCTTCTGAAAAGTAGGTAGGTTCACTTCCAGCATATAGTGAAAATTATTATTCCACTGCATTTCCCTTTATGCTTTGACTGTTTAGGAAGTTGAAAACTTAGTGTAGTCCTTTATTCTGATTACCTTTTTTGTTTCTTTCTCCTTTAATAGTTTTGATGGTGTAATGCTATTTGAACAGCCCCATGTGTCTTTTTTTTATCATAAACAGGCAAAGGATTAATAATGAATAAACATTAATAGAGAAGCAAACAACAAAATTTTAAAAATGATAAACATCCTGAAAGTTACTGAAAATCAAGAAAATTATACATTCCATGATAATTTGCTTACATTTGGGTTTCTTACCCTGAATCCTCATCTGTGGGAACACAGCCAAATTTCAAGCCCAGCAAAATAAATCTTCAAGGAGCTCAAAGAGATTTTCTTTCAAACTCATACAATAAAATTCATTTATTTTCCATGACCCTCATCTGGAATGTACTTAATCTTGTATCAGACAATTTTTATTATGCTTCAATAGGTTTCTATTGCTTTCAAGATGAGGAACAAACCTTAAGAATGGCCTATAAGGCTCACATGGTCTATATGGGCTTCCTATTACTCCACCCTTATCTCGGACACCTGTCCCACTCAGATTTCATCTGTCTCTAACTTCCTAGATTAGGGAAGTTTCCCTATTATAAACTCCTAAGTCCAGCATACCTCCCTTTTCAGCACTCATTGCAGATTATGTAATTGTGCTTTTGTGTGCTTCTTTGATTAATATCTAGTTTTCCCAAGAAACTTTAAATCCTGTAACTACTTTGTCTGTTTTCACCAGTAATTCATCTTTAGTACCTATCCTAAAGACAAGCATAGCAACAGCAACAGCAATCTGATAACATAGAAAAAGGGGGAAACCTATAAACAGTGGACAGAAGAAATCAGATATCATCAAAGTCTAGAGGTAAATTGTCTTAATAGGCACTACATTAAGACCTTCTTTAATATCATCCTTATATTACAGTATGGAGTAATAATTGAAGTCATCAAGGAAGGATTTGGTTTTGATCTATGGTTAAGATAAAAAAGAAATTAGTAATTTGCCTTTTAAATGTTTTCATCCACTCTTCTTTAAAAGATTTCCCTGTCTTCTGGAGGTGAGCTCTAGTTATGGAGAAAATTCACTAGTTTGCATTCTTCTTCCCACCTGCTGACTAACAATATCGAATAAAGGAAGTGTTCCCCAACTTCACATGAGTGAAAATAACCTTGTATTATAACACTTCTCTTTTGCTTAATTTGATAATTGCATGAAAATTATTTTCAAATTCACCTTAGTGTTTATATTCTTTTTTTAAATAAATTTTATTGTGTATATTTGAAGTTTACAACATAATGATTTGGGATACATACAACATTATATAACATTAATCCTTTTGTTATAGTCTTAACAAAAGGATTAATGTTATGTAATGTTTGACAAAAACTCTTCTGAAAATGAGGACATTTTGTTGAATATAAACCAAATTCTGTCTTATGTTGCTTGAATAAAGCAAAAGAAGAAGTTTCCACTTGGATTCTAAATTGAAGATGACCTTGTGCTTTTCTGAGAAAGGCTGGCAGCTGAGGTCACTGGAGTGTATTATGATAGACAGTGCAGAGCTGTACGTGGCTCAGAGGCATGTCCATTGTGTGGATTACAGCCAAACCGAAAGAATTAGACAGCTCAGAGCATTCTATCATTTCATTTGAAAATAATGGTCAAAGTCATGGGCAGAAGCCATTACAACTTTCATGAAAGAAAAGCAGCATTCAATAATTCCATCACTTCAGACAGGCAGTTCGGCTATTCTCACTGAATACTATGCATCCAGTATATTTTGTATCAGTTTCTTGTGACAGTCACAGAAGCAACATTTTCGTTTCTACAGTAGGAAAATCCCATCTACACTGCATTGTATATAGCTCCTTGCTTCAAGTTGAGTACATCATTGGGGAAAATACAAGGAAAGAGAAGATGCAGACACAACACTCCTAGAGTGTAAACATATAGCGACTCCAAATCATATGTATCCCTCAAGTCAACTTACTGTTTTAAAAACTTAAAATCAGGGCCGGCCCGGTGGCGCACTGCTACAATGCGCCGCTTGGGAGCGTGGCAGCGCTCCCGCCGAGGTTTCGGATCCCACATACAGACCGGTTCCCGCTCACTGGCTGAGCGAGGTGCGGGCGCAACACCGAGGGTTGCGATCCCATTGCCGGTCCCGGTCCGGTACGGGCACGTTGCCAGTCCCGGTCCGGTACGGGCGCGACACTGAGGGTTGCGATCCGTTGCCGGACACGAAACAAAAAGACAAAAAGGAAAAAAAAAGAAAAAAAAAAAAACTTAAAATCAGTTTCAAAATAAAATGTCTACAAATCCTGCTCTAATAATGGCACAAACAAAACATTCTCAAAGGTATCTACTCTGCTGTCAATGGTTTCAAATGAGCATTCTAAGTTATTTCTGAAATACTGATATTTAAGCAGAATATATTGATTGATAGAAACTTATTTTTAACTTCTGCTTCTTTCAAGAGCAGATTAATGATAGCACCAAAAATGTCTGAGATTTAAAAGCAGGTGGAAAAACTCACACTTCTAATTAAAAAGGAGAATTGTTTCTAATCCTGTGCTTTCCACTCTGCCTGATTATCTTCTATATATAGGCGACAAAACATGCCCTGTCACTTTTATGGTATTTAGCAACCAAAAAAAAAAAAAAATAGTCGTAACTTACCATTAAAATTTACAGCCCGAATATAACCAAGTAGCTCTTTCCCATCAATGGTACTCATTCGTGGGCAAAGGCCAATGTATCCTGGGCAGAGATCTTTGTGCATGTTGTGCAGGGCATAAGCCATAGAGTATACTGCATCAATTACAAATTGGACCTTTCCCTCCTGTTCATAAGACGAATCCCGAGCAATTCGCTCCAGCCCTGCAAAATAAAAAGAAGAACCATCAATCGACATTGTCAGATATCAGTAAAAGATGGCATTAGGGCTAACATTTCCATCATTTGCGACGCACTCAATGAGATACAACTATTTAATTTTACTTCTGATTACTTTAGTTCTGTATTTAGTAAGTCATGTTTTTAAACTGGGTATTGAATTTTTATTTGGAAAGAGTAGAAACTATTTCATTAGCAACAAAAAGATATAAAGTAAATAAGAGACATGTAGTTTCATTATCTTTATTTCCACCTTACTAAGTCCTATTATACGTACATTCTAGTAATCACATAACATTCTCGTAGTGGCTTGATCTTTTAAATAAAATGTGTAGAATGTCATTCGTTTCATCTGCCTCAGCTCCAGGAGCATCATTTAATTAGTGGCTCAAAGTAAGATCTCTGCCTCCCCACCCGACCCAACCTCAGATCTGTTCTTGTTTTATATGTGCTCTATTTGGGAGCCTTTTTTGTGTGTGTGTGTGTGTGTGTGTTTTTTTTTTTTTTTTTTTTTTTTTGTTCTTTTTTTGGGGGCTTTTTTTTGTGTGTGTGTGTGTGTGTGTTTTTTTTTTTTTTTTTTTAATTTTAACTTCTTAATATACATTGTAGTTGATTTTCGTGTCCCTTTACCTGTTCCTCTCCCCCCCTCCCTGTATATGTCAGTATTTTCTCAAGTGACCCTGGTTATCTTTTATTCAATTTATTTTCTTTTTGGACTCAATTTTCTGTTTTAATCTTCTTTTAAAAGATGTACATCTCTTAAAAATAATGTCCTTCAGAATAATTGTACTTGTGTTTAGGCATATTTAGGGCTGAAAGCTGGCATTGGTGATTACTTTGGGGTTGGTATTTATTATTTAATATGTAATAGAAGCATAGAATTTTTAAATGGAGGATAAATTAGAGATTGGCTATGACCCAACATTCTCATTTTGAAGATGAAGAAACAGATTCATAGAGATTATAGTTACATGCTGTGGACGGAACAGATTCAGGAAGCATTCTCAGGTTTCAGACTGCAAGCCCAATATTATTTTGATCCCCAGAAAAATCTGATGGATGGCAAGAATGACGGGCATGCAAGAAAAAATTACAGAAAGGAGGCCAAGGGCTTCTTGAGAAAGTAATAAAGAATCTCCTATTATTTCCACACACCCCCAAATCTTGCACCTCTGGTAACATGTGGAGAGAGCAAAAGCATGAACTTTAAACTTTCCAACGGATGTTAGTTAGTAACCTATAATAAATAGTCTTTAAACTCAACAAATATTTTCTTAACACCAATCCTATAAACTTGGAGTTGAATTAAGATAGTTATTTTATATTTGAGTATTTATAGTCTCACAAAACTAGTAACTTTCTTCTAGACAAAGGTAGTAATCAGCTTATTCAATTTTATTCCTCCAATCATTGGGACTTTTTTTCCTCTGGTTTCAATCACTTGTGACACTATTCCTTTAGATGCTGTTGGTTGGTGTTCTAGACTCTGCAGTCTGTCATGACACTGAATTCTGATTTTCCTTTTTCTTTTTTTTTTTTTTTTGTCTTTTTCGTGACCAGTAAGGGGATTGCAACCCTTGGTGTGGTGTCATCTGCACTGCGCTCAGCCAGTGAGCGCACCGGCCATTCCTATATAGAATCCGAACCCGCGGCGGGAACATCGCTGCGCTCCCAGCGCCACACTCTTCCAAGTGCGCCACGCGGTCGGCCCCTGATTTTCCTTTTTCAACATGGCTTTTCTGATTTTTCTCATGTCTCAACATTCCATTCTCCAAGGCTGAGTCTCTTTTTTCTCCAACCTCAGAATGCATTCATTCTCAACACTGTCAACTATTACTATTTCTATGGTCTAGCAGTATAATCGGAATCCAAACTATTGGTTATAGAGTCCAAAACATTAGATCAATTTATATTAATCAATTTAATTCATTTTGGAAACTAACTTTTTGGAAAATTAGTTTTCTAAGCCTTTTTTGTCACCTAATTCCAGCCCCACATTTCCAATTGCCTCTCATATCTCTGGGTAGCCTGCTTCCATGTCAAACTCAACATATGTAAAACTAGGCTATTGTTGTAGGAAATCACATCATATTTCCCTAAACCCTTCAATTCATGGCTTTGCAGGTTTGGCAAAAAAGAGACAGAGAAGACTAGTTCTTAAAGAGCTCAAGGTGCCAAAAGGTTATTGTCTCTTTCAACTAACCCCAGCTGCATGATCTAAGCTAAGATCCATGCAGATGAGGGACAATAGTCTCTCTCTCTCTCTCTCCTGAATCCTAGGACAGCACTGCTTGTGCCCAGACTCTCACTGCTGTGAAAAGAACCCTTTCAACTTCTGCCTAAAATTTCTCTCCCATAATTTTAACCACAAAGAATACAATCCATAAATAACTGTTGAAGAATGGTTTAAGCAACTAAAAATATTCTGTTATTTCTTTAACGACTCTTAACTGCTCTGGTTAGTCCAGGAATGAGAGGTTTCTGAGGACCTAGACAAAAATCTGAACAGTTCTGGGAAAACCAGGATGGTTGCTTATAGAAAACAGAGACAAGCAGCAAGAAAATTTAGTGACAGAAGACTGAAATAACTACTTTCAGGATCAGTCCTTAGGTCTAGGTAGATATCCCAGTGTTTCACTTATTCTGCATCACTGAAATTGATAACTGAAAATAAAGACTATAAGTTCCAGAGCAGTTATTCCCATGCTTGGTTATCTTCTTAATTACAGATTCCACAGTGCCACCCAGACTTGTTGAGTCATGGTCTCCTGATTTGGGGACATGAAGAATCTGTCATTTCCAAAACTTACCCAGAGATTCTGATATAGCCAGACTGGTCTGTGGACCAGCTTTTCGAAACTACTTCTCTCCAATATCCCAATCCTTAAAAATATCAGTATAGTTCTACTGTTTAGAGAATTTTATAGTATTGAAGTACAAAATAAACATAATTCTTTCATATGATGTGCTACTAGAAGAAAACTTGATCAAATTCTTCCCCTTGTCCCATCAGATGAAGAGTCAAGGGATATATCATTCCCAATTATCTACTGATTTTAAAGCTTCCACCTTGTTCTTGGACACTCAGGGAGGCTTGGAGCTGATTTCCAGAGTAGAAGTCAGAAATACATGAATGATTTGTAAGTAACAAAGTTTAAAGAATTAAATGTTTTCCTCCTGGGAGGGTGGAAGCACAAAATAGAAAAGGAGTAGAAAATGAAGCATCAGAGAGGGGAGAGAAAGGGAGATGCAGCAACACGGGGAAAGGCTTGAGCCCAAGGTGCAAAAATGGCACAGGGTTTTTTTTTTTTTAAACACAGATGTCTAACATTCCAGGTAAAGTTGTTTGTATTGCTGCTCTGTAAATCCCTCTGCTGCAGAAACACACACACACACACAAACACGCATACACACTCCTCTTCTGTGAGTATTATTACGTTTATCTGATTGTGTTTTAGTTTGTGGGCTTTAAAGAAAAGAGAGGATTTCTATGTTTCCATCACTACAAGGTGAAGGGTAGATAGCAAGCACAGAATTGGCAGAAAATGCTTAAGCCAAGTTGCTTCAAAGGAAGCAGTGACCACGAGAGAACATTAAGGTGTAGGAAAATTTCCGGAATCCATGAAATACATGTAAGAGTTAAGCATGGGTAAATATTTTATGTTTTTAAATTTACTCTATCCCAAAATGTTCTGGATTTAATATATTATGATTCTAATTCCACTGCATCCTCGCTGTTAATTTATAAAGATATTCCATAGCATTCAGTAATTGGAATTTATATATATACAACACTTTTTGATACACTGTGTAATAGAGATGCCCCAACTTAATAGACATACTCTTCCTTGCTTTTTCTTTAAAAAAATATTTAACTGCATATATAATGAATTCATGCACACTCTAAAATAATACACTATCTTATTAAAGGTAAATATTTAAATTTTCATATTCAAACTTTTTCTTTTCGAGGCTAGTTACAAATTTCAATTAGTTTGAGTGAAGATTAAATATATCAACTTCATATTATGTTTTCCTTTTAAAGTAAAATTTTAGAAGTCTGTCTAGTGACTACTGTCACATATGAAGCAATGGACACTATTAGACTTTTCTGTGAATCAATGTAAACACATAGTGACACACTAAAATACCGAACACTATTACCTTTGCTAAAGATAAAAAGAAATCATTTGGTTTCTTTCCAGGCTGTTTAGACAATACATTTTTCTGTTCCCTAACACTTCAACCCATAATGACACTTACGATTTTGTAGCAGCTAGAGTTTTCTCCTCACTTCCTATCTCTGATTCTCTCATTCACCCAAAAGAGGAGTTTAGGAAGCTGACAGTGACTCCTCAACTTAATTGGCTGTAAAATTTCATTATGCTATAGTTTCTAAAGTTAGCATTAATGTATTGCTATAAAGTGCTAAATATTGCCAAAGGCTGTATGTCAGCCATCCATTTAAAACGTCACCTATTGTAAAGTTGTGATGTGTTTTAGTGTACAGCTTAAAATTAACAACATATAGCAACATATTTGCACAGTGGGAGATGAAGTCAGCCTCGTAAATTTCATAGCAAGATCGTTTTGTTTTCATTAGTGAAATCTAAAACTTCCAATTGTATCTCACGTTCCTGGAAAACATAGTAAATTCTCATTGGTCCAAGAAATAACACATGTACTTCAGTTAAGTTTTTTTTTTTTTTTTTTTTTTTTTTTTTTTGCACACCATGGTGTATCTTCCTCGGTTTTGTTCCTTCTTAGTAAACAGGCAAATCAGCTCAAATTTTCAAGCACTGGACATATTACAGTGTAAGTTCCTAAGATGAGCCTGACAAGAATTTTAAATTATTTGACTGACACATTATTGTTGCAGGGCTTTGCTTTCTAAGAATTTCCCATTTCTAAAGATAGAGTTCAGTTTTCTAAATTGAAATGTCAGAGGGTTGTTTCCATTTTCCCGAAGTTAGGCATGTAAATCT